TGAAATCTTCTGCTATGATTATTGAATTGTCTGTTTATCTCTTCAGTTTTGTCAGTTTTTATTTAATGTATTTTGTGCCTCTATTGTCGGATGTATATATGTTTATAATTGTTATATGTATTGGTGAATTAACCCTTTCATTCTTATAAAATGCCCCTCTTTGTCTCTAGTAACACTTTTGTCATAAAGTACTGGTTTTTAAAAGACTAAGGAAAGATTCCTTTTCCCATTCCTCTTATTTGCTTCTTACCCTATAGCTTGAGAAACCAGGTGATAGAATTATTGTACCATAGCACCAATACTTGCCACTTTTTTTTATATTAGGGCTCTAGGATTTCATTTTTTAAAAGAAGTTCTGCAATAAAAATGTTTTGAAGGCTTTTCCAATTTAAATTTTCTGACTTTACATATATTTGGCTACATAAATCCTTTTGTCTTCTGGATTTCTGCTCTTGAGGTTTAAATATCCCACCTAAAATGTTAACATTTGGGGAATATGGGTGAACAGTATACTGGATTCTTTGTATATACTCTTGTAGGTTTTTTCCCAAGTCCAAAGTTATTTCAAAATAAAAAGTTAAAAAACATTTCACCTAAGTGAAGTTTTACTAGTTATCTTTTTTTACTTGTAGGTAGTACTAGTCTTACTAAGTGACTTTGAAAGTATATCTATTTGGCAGTGTAACCTCATAGCGCATATCATGAGCCCTTAGTTCATTCTTTTTTTTTTATTTTTTATTTTTTTTTGAGATAGAGTCTCACTCTGTTGCCCAGGCTGGAGTGCCGTGGCTTCAGCCTAGCTCACAGCAACCTCAAACTCCTGGGCTCAAGCAATCCTCCTGCCTCAACCTCCCGAGTAGCTGGGACTACAGGCATGCACCACTATACCTGGCTAATTTTTCTATATATTTTTAGTTGGCCAAGTAATTTCTTTCTATTTTTAGTAGAGACAGGGTCTCGCTCTTGCTCAGGCTGGTCTCGAACTCCTGAGCTCAAACAATCCACCTGCCTTGGCCTCCCAGAGTGCTAGGACTTAGTTTATTCTTAACTCTGATATTAACACAGATATGTCCCAGTAGCATCATCTGGTTGGCAAGTTTCTGGAAGTTGTTATATCTTCCTTTTCCCTCACAGACATATCCATTCAGGCAGTAAAACTTGCATCATTTAATACTACCTTAATGCATCTTTCTTTCTTGTTTTTCCTTTTTCTTTTCACGTCAGACGGGTAATGTGCCAACATCGTAACAAGATTTGAGGGAGGCACATCTCACACGTGTGTGAACACCCAGTCATCACATTTACGAACTACAGAAAGATCAGTGTATCTTTTTTTTTTTTTGAGACAGAGTCTCACTGTGTTGACCGGGCTAGAGTGCCGTGGTGTCAGCCTAGCTCACAGCAACCTCAAACTCCTGGGCTCAAGGGATCCTACTGCCTCAGCCTCCCAAGTAGCTGGGACTACAGGCATGTGCCACCATGCCCGGCTAGTTTATATATATATATATATGGCTAGTTTATACACACACACACACACACACACACACACACACACACACATACATATATATTAAGTTGTCTAGTTAATTTCTTTCTATATTTTTTTTAGTAGAGACGGGGTCTCACTCTTGCTCAGGCTGGTCTCGAACTCTAGAGCTCAAATAATCCACCCACCTCGGCCTCCCAGAGTGCTAAGATTAGAGGCGTGAGCCCCCACACCCGGCCAGGATCAGTGTATCTTGAATTTGTCCTTCCTAACATGGTTTTCATTCAAACCTCATCATCTCTTTTCTGAATTATTGCAATAGCTTTTTAATTGGTTTCCTGTTTTGCATTGTACGCACAGAATTCCTAGGTGACCCTTTGCCTCTCTGTCCTCATCTGCCTGCTTCTGATATGCATATAAACTGCTCGTGGTAACACTCATATACTTACTCCATGCTATTTCATGCTTTTGCTTATGATCTTCCCTCTGCTTAGATGAGCTAATTTTCTTTCTTCAAAACTCAGCTCAGGTATCTTTTCTATGAAACCTTACTAGAGAGTCTCACTTTATTCTTTTGCTTGTAGCTATCCAATTGTCCCAGCACCATTTGTTGGAAAGAATATTCTTTCCCTATTGAATTGTCTTGGCACCCTTGTTGAAACTCAGTTGATCATAACTATCAGAAATAGTTATTTCTGGACTCTATTCTGTTTATATATACATCTATATATATGAGTACTATAATGTCTTAATACTGTAGCTTTGTAGTAGGTTTTTAAATCAGAAAGTATGAGTCTTCCAAATTTGTTCTTTTTCAAGATTGTTTTGGCTTTGGTTATTATGAGTCCCTTGAAGTTTTGTATGTATTGTAGGATAAGCTTGGTATTTTCTGCAGAGAATCCAGCTGGAATTTTGGTAGGAACTGAGTTGAATGTATGGAATGATAAGGGGTATTTCTCTCCATTTTGTTTGCTTTAGTGTAGTTTTTTTTTTCCTTCAGTTTTTCAAATTTGATATTTCTGTGTATTTTTGATTTGCCATAATTCTTAACAAATCTTTGTGACAAATTGTGCCCTCCAAGGCACATAACATAGTAATAGGTATATAGGCTTAACTTTGTAATGCCTGATTGCAGTAGAAAGGGAAGAATTTTCTTATTGGTGATTTGACCATTTACTTGAGAAACTTTGTCCTTATTATGTTTCACATTTTTACATGTTCATTGTGGAAAGTTTTAGAAAATACCAAAAAAAAGCAGGAAAAAAGTTCATAATTCTACAGTTTAAAGTTAATTTGTATATATGTATGTATTCAGAGTTAATATCATTTGTGTGTATGGAAGCTCGTGTATATGTAACCATATAATATACAGGAACATCTTTTCATCTTACTGAAATCTGCAGTGTTATTTTTAATGCTATATCATACCTCATTTTGAGATGTTTAATTTTTTTTTGAGACAGAGTCTCGCTCTGTTGCCTGGGATAGAGTGCCATGGCATCATCAGCCTAGCTCACAGCAACCTCAAGCTCCAGACCTCAAGCGATCCTCCCGCCTGGGCCTCCCTGAGTGCTAGGATTACAGACGTGAGCCACCACGTCCGGCCTGAGATATTTAGTTAAACCCCTATTAGGTTTATGTTTAGTTAAGTTTTTCTAAATTACAAGTGCTATAATGAATGTCTTTATAGTTAAATCTTTGTGTAGATTCTCGACTATTTTCTAAGGCAAGTTACTATAAGTGGAATTGCTGGCTTAAAAGGATGCATGCTTCTAAGACTATCTTGCTATTCTTTTAGGATAGTATATTAATATTTGATAGTAGCTTTTGTTAAAATCTGATGGCAAGCTCATAAACAAGTATTCGTACTATTTAAAAGTAATATTGGGCCGGGCGCTGTGGCTCACGCCTGTAATCCTAGCTCTTGGGAGGCCGAGGCGGGCGGATTGCTCAAGGTCAGGAGTTCAAAACCAGCCTGAGCAAGAGCGAGACCCCGTCTCTACTATAAACAGAAAGAAATTAATTGGCCAACTGATATATATATAAAAAAAAAATTAGCCGGGCATGGTGGCACATGCCTGTAGTCCCAGCTACTCGGGAGGCTGAGGCAGAAGGATCGCTTGAGCCCAGGAGTTTGAGGTTGCTGTGAGCTAGGCTGACGCCACGGCACTCACTCTAGCCTGGACAACAAAAGTGAGACTCTGTCTCAAAAAAAAAAAAAAAAAAAAAAAAAGTAATATTGGATGTTCATAGCAGCATATTCATAATAGAAAATAGAAACAATCCAATCCATTGACAGAAGAATGGATGAACAAAATGTCATATATACATACAATGGAATATTGTTTAGCCTTAAAAAGGAATGAAATTCTGGTTCATGCTACATCTATGAACCTTGAAAACATTATACTAAGTTAAATAAGCCAGACACAAAAGGGCAAATGTCTGATTCCACTTATATGAAGTACCTAGCATAAGCAAATTCATAGAGACAGAAAGTAAAATAGAGGTTACCAGGGGTGGGTGGGAATGGACAGGGAATTATTGTTTAATGGGTACAGAGTTTCAGTTTGGGATGATGAAAAAGTTCTGGGAATGGATAATAGTGATGATTGCACAACAGTGTGAATATACTTAATGCCAGTGAATTATATACCCCACAATGATTAAAATGGTAAATTTGATGTTTTGTATATTTTACCACAGTAAAAGAAACTGCTATTGGATGAATTCTAGAATTTTTTTTTTTTTTTTTTTTGAGACAGAGTCTCACTTTTGTTGTCCAGGCTAGAGTGAGTGCCGTGGCGTCAGCCTAGCTCACAGCAACCTCAAACTCCTGGGCTCAAGCGATCCTTCTGCCTCAGCCTCCCGAGTAGCTGGGACTACAGGCATGTGCCACCATGCCCGGCTAATTTTTTGTATATATATTTTTAGTTGGTCAATTAATTTCTTTCTATTTTTGGTAGAGACGGGGTCTCGCTCAGGCTGGTTTCGAACTCCTGACCTTGAGCGATCCGCCCGCCTCGGCCTCCCAAAGTGCTAGGATTACAGGCGTGAGCCACCGCGCCCGGCCCTGAATTCTAGAATTTTAAACAAAAACCACCTAGAAATCATGTGGTTGTTTTCTTTCTTTTCTTTTTCATGTCTTGATATCAATAGAGATTGGCATGGTAGTTTTTCTTATTATGTATATCACCTTGTTAGCTAAGTGGACCAACTCACTTGTTTTGAATTTAATGGATTGATAGATTGGACTGAGAACTAGGTTCCTAACCAGTATTCTTGCCATATGAAGACAGATTGAGCTATATACCAAGTAGTCTGCTAGGCACTGTTGGCTACAGTGGTAAACAAGATAAGACACAGTCCCTGGAGTCTGCTTGTTGCTAAGATTGAACAGAAAAAAGAATAAATTTCTTATTAAGAAAAAAGGGATTAAAAATCAGGTGACTTGTTTTCTCCTTAATGATTTCCTTTGTGGGGTGATTTTAAAATATCCCTTTTTCCCCTTCAGGTTGCTATGGAAATATATGACCACATAAAAGGAAGTCCATTCTGCTAATTCTGATACCTGAGATGTAACTGGATTGAAGAGTGGAATAGGAAAAATTTTAGTGCCAACCTTAATTACAATGGCCACTGATTCAGGGGAGCCAGCCAGCACAGAAGATTCTGAGAAACCTGATGGAGTTTCATTTGAAAGCAGAGTTCCTCAAGTTGCTGCAACCTTGATGGTAGAAGCTAGGCTAAAGGAAAAAATTAGTACTCCCTCTGCGTCTGTAGAAACTGTAGAAAGGAAGAGGTTTTTCTGCAAGAGCGTTGAGATGACGGAAGATGACAAAGTTGCTGAATCTTCCCCCAAAGATGAGAGAATAAAGGCTGCAACAAATATTCCAAGAGTAGATAAACTTTCTACAAATGTGCTAAGAGGTGGACAAGAAGTTAAATATGAACAGTGTTCAAAGGCAACTTTGGAAACTTCAAAAGATTGTTTCAAGGAGAAAAATGAAAAGGAAATGGAAGAAGAAGCAGAAATGAAGGCTGTAGCTACTTCTCCTAGTGGCAGATTCCTGAAATTTGACATAGAGCTGGGAAGAGGAGCATTTAAAACAGTATATAAAGGACTGGACACTGAAACATGGGTTGAGGTTGCTTGGTGTGAACTGCAGGTAGGTATATAATCTTGGTTTTAATAAATTCCATTCTTAGCTGGCCTGGCCTTCTGAGTGATCTGGGATTAAAATGTATTATGGATTAAAATAAAATGAAGGGCTTGTCCCCCACCTTCTAGAAATTATGCTCCTTTCTTAGATCTTCTTAGGAGCTCATGATGAACTTTTTTTTGTCCTCTTGTTGTTTTCCCCTCAGTTTTATTGTTTATTTATTTATTTTTGAGATAGAGTCTCATTGTTTTGCCCAGGCTAGAGTGCAGTGGCGTCAGCCTAGCTCACAGCAACCTCAAACTCCTGGGCTCAAGCAATCCTTCTGCCTCATCCTCCTGAGTAGCTGGGACTACAGATATGTGCCACCATGCCCAGCTAATTTTTTCTATATGTTTTTGTTTGGCCAGTTAATTTCTTTCTATTTTTAGTAGAGACGGGATCTTGCTCTTCTTGCTCAGGCTGGTTTCGAACTCCTGACCTTGAGAGATCCTCTGGCCTCGGCCTCCCAGATGCTAGGATTACAGGCGTGAGCCACTGCGCCTGGCCCGATCCCCTCAGTTTTAAAGAGGGAAAAATCTATCATGGCTTTTTTGGGGGAAAAATTCTCTTCATTTATTAGCCTTAGGAAATTCCTGCAATTCTTAATGTCTCCTTTTGAAAACTTTTATAAATAGTGCCTTATGAGTTGATTGTTATACTAAATACTTGAGAGTGGGATATAGTGATATATTTATTGTGACATATACTTTTTTTCTTCCAACAAAATTCTGGGGGTTCATATGGTGTTTTTCAGAATAGGAAAGGTTTTTCTTGATTCTTTGAGGGCCTCTGTTGATATAAACTCACCATGCCTTTGAGTTTACCTCAGAGAGGATCTCTGGAAGAAATAATCACCAGAATCTACTGAGCTTAGTCAATGGGAATGTGTTTAGAAGTGAGAAATGAAAGTAACAGGAGAATGAATTACCTAGATATTTGGTTCCATAATAAATGTGTAGTACTTTTAACTAATGAATGACTAAGTGGGACTGAACATTATAGAAGAGGTTATAATGAGAATAGTTTCAGACAGATGTAGGTCAGGTATAAGAAAAACCCTTGTGGCCTCAGTCAACTCATGGGAAATGGTCAGTGTTCACATGGGATGCTTAAAATTAAGATTGAATAAAGCCAATCGCTAAGTGCAGGTCTTTTGGGTGGTTGTTCACATTCCAGTGGTCTTTGTGAATTTGGCTTTGTATGTACAGAATACCATGATTTCACCTGTTCAGAATTTGCTGTAGGTTGCCCTACAGATAGGTTGGAATTCACTCCAGGTCTCTACATTTCTAGGAAGCTTTTTGTTTAATGCCATGGTTTCCAAACTTTATTGTCTACAAGCATCAGTATTTGCTTCATATGCGGATTGTGGAGCCTATTGCCACAGATTTTTTTTTTTTTGAGACAGAGTCTCACTCTGTTGCCCAGGCTAGAGTGAGTGCCTTGGCGTCAGCCTAGCTCACAGCAACCTCAAACTCCTGGGCTCAAGCCATCCTGCTGTCTCAGCCTCCCGAGTAGCTGGGACTACAGGCATGCACCACCATGCCTGGCTAATTTTTTCTATATATATTAGTTAGCCAATTAATTTCTTTCTATTTATAGTAGAGACACGGGGTCTTGCTCTTGCTCAGGCTGGTTTCGAACTCCTGATCTCGAGCAATACGCCCGCCTCGGCCTCCCAGAGTGCTAGGATTACAGGCGTGAGCCACTGCGCCTGGCCATTGCCACAGATTTTTGATTCAGTAGATTTGGATTGGGGTGCAGGACTGCAATTGTAATAAACTTTCTAAGTGCTTCTAACTTAGGAAATCCCTTAACTACTCTTTGGAAAGCAAGTTTTACCTATCAGTCAAGCCATTCGAGTGGTCCTTGAAAGATGTGTGCAATGTGTGAGATTTGTTTGGTTTTCTTCTCACCTCCTTTTTACCCTTTAAGAATTTTGTAAGGTATATGTTATAGTAGAAATTTTAGGTAATACTGGCAAGCAAGCATCAAAATCACCTTTCTACCACTTTGAGCACAATGCTTTAAAAATTTTAGTATATCTATCTTTCTGCTAAGTATATGTATGTCATTCTATAAGGTTTTGTAATCTTTATTTTCACTTATATAGAATGTCTTTTCACTGTAAGTGTACATTTATGTAAGTATTTTCAATAGATGCTTAGTATTTAATCGTAAAGTTTGTACAGGTTATTTACCTAGTCCTCTATTGTTGGATATATAGGTTTTTCTCTAAATTTCACTATTATAACCATGACTGTGGTGAACATCATTGTATATATATTGAAAATTATGTAAATTTTAATTTCATCTCTGCATTGTGATATCTTTTAGTGATATCATTTAATCTATTAATGTGGGAAATAATATCCATTCACTTGGTAGTAGGGTATATAGTAAAGATAAGTTAAGTATTTTGCAAATTGTGTACTCTAGCTATGTTAAAGGATGTTTAGGTAAAACATGAAGAAAATATTCCCATGGGAGAAACCGCTTAGGAGACTGCCTTCTATCATTCACCTATGGAAAGGTTGAAAGATCTCATAAGGTATTACTACTCAAATTGTGGTCCTTGGACCAGCAGCATGGACATTATCTGGGAGCTTGTTGGAACTGCATATTCCTAGGCATCATCTCAGGCCTTCTTGATCAGAATCTGCCTCTTCGTAACACTTCCTGGTGATTCGCATGCACAGTAAGTAGAGTATGGAAAGCACTGAAATATGGGACCAATCCCAACAGCTAGCTGAATCAGAGTAGAAATTCTCTTAATACACTAACATGAACTTTATATTATATCATGTACTGATTTCTGGCTTCCACTGCAGACTTCTCAAATTAGAATCTCTAGGAAATGAATCCCGGGAACTTGTTCTTTAAAAGTTCCCTAGGACATAGCCAACTTTGGGAATCTGCATTGTGGAGCAAATGTAATAAATATATGAAGTATATTTTAATTGACACAGAGAACAACAACTGAAATTTTCTGTTCTGAAGGGAATGTCAGAACTAGTGGGCTTATTTAATTTGTTTTTGGATATTGCTTTGTCTTCTGAGTATTTGAAAATTACAAAAACTAGCTTATTTAAAATCCCAGGAGAATAAAGGGCATCCTCTTTCAGTTACTTTCCTGAGTACTTACAGTTTGTAGTGTACAATTTCATTCTTCTACAAACTCCTATTTATTGCACAATTAAAGAATTTTGTAGAAAAACGCCCCAGTGAGAAGTTCAAATTATTCTACTTTCCTTTCTAATATTTGTTTATATATATGTATCTGAGATTTTATATATATATATATTTATAGATAGATAGATATAGATATGTCCATACTTTTATCCTCTTATCAATTTGGTATGTATTTTCTATTTATTAACATTATTAAAACTATATTACATTCACACTAACCTTTTGCTTAATCTTCTCCCTTAATGTCAGGCAATTATTTTATTTTTTAAATTATATTTTTGCATGTTTGATTTGAAATTCACAGCCCAACAATAGGATGGTGGGTTTTTTTTTTTTTTTTTTTTTTTTGAGATAGGGCCTAGCTCTGTCACCCAGGCTAGGGTGCATTGGCATCATCATAACTCACTGGAACCTCAAACTCCTGGGCTCAAGCTATCCTCCTGCCTCAGCCTCCCAAGTAGTTGGGATTATAGGTGTGTGCCACCATACCTGGCTAATTTTTAAAATTTTTTAAAGTTTTTGTAGATATAGGGCCTCACTATGTTGCTTGAGCTAGTCTCGAACTCCTGGCCTCAAGTGATTCTCTTGCCTTGACCTCCCAAAGTGCTGGGATTACAGGCATGAGCCACTGTGCTTGGCCCTTTCTGCATTTATTAATTGGAATCAGTTCTTAGTTTTATTTGGTCTCTCCTCAATATGTCTGTTAAGTTTCTCAAAACCCAGCAATAGGGGTAGAGATACTTTAGTACAGTTAGTAATATGGGTATTATATACTTTCCATTTATCAAAATTAGTATTAATTGATTATTATGCAGGTACTTAATTTCAATATTTTCTTTAATCCTTGCAATAGTTATATGAGGTGAGGATTATTAGTTTTCAGATGGTAGAACTGAGGTATATATACATTAAGTAACTTGCCTAATGGGGCAGAGTTGGGATTTGTATGCTATCAATTATATATAAATATATATATATATTTATATATATATAAAACATTTGCATAGATGATTTAATAAATCCCCTCCACTAGTTATTCGAACAGATCATTCTTTCACGTTTTTAACCATTTTAGAACAAATGATTTCTTAAATGGACTCTTTAAAATAAGGTTCTTAACATTAAACTTATGAAACTTAAGGGATACCAATTAGTGGTGTCATTGAAGGACACTCCCTGGCATAGGGACCTCTGAGGAACAGTTTCATAGTTGGGTTGTCATGGTGCAGTATTTGGCCTTCACCTTTTATCAATCTCCAGAGGTGATCCGACATGTGGGGAGACTGACTTGTGCTAAATCAAACTCCTAAATCTAGGATACAAGTTTAATTAATTTAGAATGAGAAATATAGTTGTTAGGTAATATGCTGCATGTGATCTGTAGGCTAGATGCATGGGGAGCTAAATTATAATCAGATAAACTGGTTTGGTAAGTATAGAGTCAGAACAAAGTACTAGATGTTCTTGTGTATCGTCCTGATAAGGCAACAGACTGAGCAAATGAACTGAATGTTCAGATCCTGAATGAGGACATCCTCTTTGTTCAGCAATTCTGAAAGACAAATGAACCTGGTTCTATATGACAACCATTTATGAGAACTTCGTAGAGACAGGGTCTTGCTGTGTTGCCCCGGCTGGTCTCAAACTCCTGGCTTCAAGTGATCTTCCCGCCTCAGCCTCCCAAGTAGCTGAGACTAAAGGCATGAGCCACCTCACCAGCAATAAACACCTTTTTTTAAGGTGTTAATGCCATTGCTGTCTCAAAGTTTTAACAT